AACAGCTGGTCCATCAGGTTGCTGTCAGCTTTCCTACCACTGTTCCATTTTCATCCCCACAAGCCCCTCCCGAGGTGAAGCTTCCCCATTTGCCCCGGGTCCACCCCAAAGCATGTTTCAGCTTTGGCCCCAGCCCCCGTTCCCCTCATGGTTCGGGGTGCCGTTCTACATGCTCTTGGTGGCTCAGAGACGCCATGCTGCTGGTCTGGTGGCATCTGCGCCTCGGTACAGGGTGAAACACTTTATCCTGGCAGGGCCAGGCTCCTTTTCTGTGTCCCCTCTAGCTGGTTTTGGTCAGGTTTTGGCCACGTTAGGTCACAGCAGCCACTGTGGAGGGGAGGCTGGGCAGCGCTGGCTGCCAGCACAGCCTGTGGTGACAAACGAGCTTGTTGTCCTGCCAGAAGCAGTCTTCAGATGTAGCTGTCTCCTTGTTTTTGTTAATGTCTGCTGCTAAAACCATTGGCAAAGGAGGGGGGGAACAGAACGGGGACTGATTTTCAGAGTTGCTCTTAAATTGTCTTCTCTACCCCTTCCCATTCTCCCAGCATACACCATTTCTTACCTGTTTTTAAGTGGCCCTTCATCATTTACCCTAATGCAACCTACATTGTATACCTGAAATGTATGTCTACATGGTCTAGAAATATAAAGCTGTCTTTTATATTTTTTCTGTTCATTTTAGCTTGGATCAGTTGCTTGTCTCAAGCTTGGACCAGCAAAAACTGCAATCTGTTTTGTCAGCAGTAGTACCAAAATGTGATGTTGCTGCTATGCTCCAAGAAGTCAAAGCACAAGTAAAGGTAAAAACCAGAAGATAAAACTAGATTACTGGTGGTATTTTCAAGGGTTTTCTTAATGGCAGATAAAATCTCTTTCAAACAGTTTTAGAGCTCCTCCAGTAGTTCTGCAGTAGGTTACAGTTGATGGTAGTTTTACTAATGCTGGTTTTTGAATGCCTGCTATAAACCCAAAATAAATTTTAATGGCTTTTATATAAGAAGGGCTATTGTTTGTCCAGTGCAAAAGCAGTTTTGAGGCACAATAAATAGACCTATCTTAAGTGGGGAAGTATGCCTCCATTTGAGTCGTCATTACAGCTGAGAAACTCCTGGGTTTGCCATTAATTGCACATCAGAATTTAACTTTCCACCAACCATCTGGGTCAGACTCACTTTCCCCACCACTCAAGGGAAGATCTGCTTCTCTCTGTGCCTGGAAGCACCCGCCTTTTGCTAGAAGCTGTGATCACGGAAATTGAGTTTATTTTGTTTAATGCTGTTTTTTTTTCACCAGAATGCTGCTGCTGGAGGGTTTGTAAGAGACTCCTGTGACCTTTTTGTTCTCTTCTGTGGAAACTGGTTATTGAATTAGGATAACCTGCTTCATTATCTAGACATTTAAAGAAGGCCTCCAAAGTGAAATGATTGCCAGAACATTACTTCTCTATTTGCAGTGTTTGTGTTTGTGTTTTTGGGATACATCCACATCCTTTTAAAATCAGAACAGAAGTTGATAAAATAATGACAGCACTGGAGGGGAAGCTGCCATCTGGTCCGCATAACTGCTGGCTGAGCTGCATTTAGAGCGTTCCTGACAAAGGTTGCTGTTTCAAACATAGGGCAGGCTGGGGGGAACAGGACCTCTGCAAAATACCCAGCTTTACCTCCTTCCAGGGACAGCATAGCTGAAGCTTGCAAGTCCCAAGAGCTTGGTGAGCCAAGAGGGTTTAGTAGCTTTACTGATAAAATTAGGACTGGATTGTACTGCTGGCGGAAGGTAATTAAGTGTTCTTTAAAGTATTTTGCATGGGGTCTTGGAGAGATTATTTATTTATGCCACTTTTCAAAGCTTGAGAACTCAAATATTTATAAAGCTGAATGCTTTTTGGAATGCACTTCTTGTCTGCATAGTTTCTTATCCATATTTAAGCCCAGTATGGCACGTACACTGGAAAATGTTATGCTAGTCAAATGCTGGATTTGAATGTACAATAGGACAGTTCTTCATAGTTATGCAATTGCTGAAAAATGAGATGGACTGCCTGATTCTGCCTGAGAGCTTCCCTGGGAAGGGTTTGTCATCATCTTTGCTCTGAACAGTGCCGAATTTACTGCTAGCATTTAGTAAGTGCTACTATATATATAAAAAAATAAGTATACGGACATTTTATTGTTTAAATCTCTATGGCCAATGATCTTTGGCTAACAGGCTAAACAGAGGTGATCACTGGAGACCTTTTGTGTTCACTGTGTGGCCAAGTATAGCAGTAAGCATCAATAACCATATCTATGTACTATGGGGCATACACGTGCTGGCTGAGGACAGCACTGAGAGCTGAGGAGGGAGGAGATGTGCAACCTCGGCAGTGGGAAGCTGGGGCTCAGACTGTGTTGCCGACTGGCCCAGGACATGTGGTCCTTGAACAACCCTCTAACATCTGAGCCTCTGAATATTTTTGTTTTTAATTCTTTTTTCCTTCTTACCCAGTGTAAGCAAATTAAGTTGTGGTAGCAACAGTTGGAAAGAACCTGACCTCTTAAACAAAAAGGGTTGCTATAGTACTTAACGGTCAAAGATCTGTGTATGTTTCCATTACCCTCACTGCTCTTTGAAAGGGGCTAGCCTAGGTAACTTAACTGATATTATTATTTCTAGCCTAACATAAAGCTGTTCTCACTTGAGTACAGGTGAGAAGGGTCTTAACATCTACAGGAGACTGTGGGCTAGGGTGTTCAGCCCTGACTGCTCCTGTCTCCTCGAGCACTGATGGATCAGTGATGTGGATCAGGATGTCATCGGTTTCTGACATTGGCTCTGTGCATTGCAGGGATGCCTCTAATGCACAAAATCTTCCACGGCCACTATTTGGCAAAAAAGCATGCAGTGATACCAAGAATTTGACTGTTTTTTCACCAAAAAATGATAATAATCTGTGGTTCCCTGTGCCTTTTGAAACAAAATCAAAAGGCAAACGCTGAGTTAAAATGTTTAGTGAGCTAATATGTCATTTAAAGCTGAATAGATTAAGAGGTTGGTTTCTAATGATGTGCCATTAATTTTAGTGTTGGCAGTTTCTGGAAATTACTGAGGTTGGATGGGATCCCAGGGAAAAGCTGAGAGACCTGCTTTCTACTCCCCACTTCTGACACTCTGCCCCACAGATGGTTACTATCCCCTTGCTCCACCAAATGCCTTCTTACAGTCCCCTTTGCACCACAAAACGTGGTCTCTGTAACAGCGTCTGGTTTTGTCCTAATAACCTTCATAAGACAGTGCCAGACTTGCTGGACAGAGCTGCTTCTCTCTCATGGCAAATTCTGTATTTTGGCAGCAGGCCATCACTTCGAAGAAATCAGCTTTGCACCTTTGGTCTGGTCTGGAGCCAAGTTCAGCCCTGGTGCAGACGTGCACCAGTCCCTTTCCTGTGCTAGATGCTCCCATTTCCACAACAGCACAGCTTAGTCCCATTTGTACCACTAATAGGCTCTTTACTTTCATCTCCCAAGTCAAGCAGTTTCTCCTGCTGTCCAATCTACCCTTCCCCAGCTTCAATTTGTAGCCCCTGCCCCTTGCAAGATTGTCCAGCACTGCTGAGAAGAGGTTGATGCAACTGTCCTTCATTATATCTTTGTAACTGCCTTTCAAGAAGAAGGAGAAATGGGATAACAGAAGTGTTAGCAATTCCCTGGAAAGTACAGTGCTTGGTCCAGAAAGGTGTATGTGGACTATTGAGTTTTGACTGCAAAAGGTCAAGTAAAGCAAAGTTGATAACAGTGTGAAAATTAGGCTACCCAAGGTTTAATACCCTTTCGCTATCCTAATTTTGACTTTGCTTTCTAGGTTTGAACTGACTGAAGAAACCTTTGCTGTCACCTGAGTTCTCCTATTATGGCTGCTAGTCATCTGTAGCATGAGCAGAAATACGCTTAATCTCTCAGTTTCAATTCCTTGAGTTGCTTCTTTCACCTGCCATAATCTGTGGATACTGGGAATTTGTCATTTGTGTGGGAACTTGGTCTTGATCTTTGGTTTTGTTTTTTTCGCCTTCCCCTTCCCCTCTGTCTCCCATTTTTCTGCTAGAGCAAGGAAGACACATACTTCGTAGTCTTGCACAAAGAAGAAGGAGCTGGCCTGGGATTTAGTGTTGCTGGAGGAATAGATCTGGAACAGAAATCAGTCACAGTAAGTGATGGCTGCAAGTCATTTTTTGAAAAGCTCACTTTAAAGCAGGCTGGTGATTAGATCAAGTGCTCATTTATCAAGACTCACCACAAGTCATTCACAGTCATAAAACAGTGTCTCTCAGAGGCGGCTGCATACCATCTGCTACTGAAATCACAGAGTGTCTGGGAAGCATAATTTTTATTATTGGAGGTGGATGTCAATTATGTTTTTGGTCTTCAAAAGTTGGTTACTGGATGGGATTGGCTAGATCTAAGTCCTATTCACGTAAATAAAATTCTGCACACAGTTACAGTGCATGCAACCTTTTAGGGGACATTTTCATTCCCAGCCCTTGAAAGTAAACTCTGTGCAGCAAGTTTTTGAAGGATTTTGCAAATCCTGAGAATGACTGGTTCAGACCTCGGCAAACATTCTGGATTTCATGTCACAAATTTGGTTTGGTGTTACTAAGACCTGTGGGTGGTCAGTAAATGAGGGTTGTTGTTTTGTTCGTAATTTTTGGTTTGTTTTTTTTTTTTTAAAGTCTTATATTGCATTCTGAACCAAAGATACTGTGTGCCATTAAGTGATGGTGTGCAAAAAGAGATACCAAGCAACTTACATACTGTTCAAAACCAGATTGGTGAGACAGAAAGGACCAAGACAACTGGTGTCCCGTGTGACAAATTTTTTTACGCAAGATAGGCATTTAAACTGTGCCCTGAAACAGAGAGATCCATTAAGTGCTGAGATTGGAACAAGGGTATGTCCTTGGTCTTTGGGGCCTGCAGCAGCCCTTGCAGGAATCTTTTGTGGTTTGATCTTAGACAAGACCAATATTAGTAAATGTGTTTTACGTAAGCAGTCATTGAGTTAGAATGTGGTCACAGTCTAGGGAACAGACCACATCTCTCGCTACAGTTTGTGTTCCCTGTCTCTGGCCCAAATGTATGCAGTGTGAGCTGTGAGCAAGGGGAAGGCTCAACAGCGTCCCAGCCCAGAGAGACCCTCACCTAGAGGCTGGGATATTGCCTAAAAATATGATCTTGAGCTCTCTCAGGCTGAGTAACTGATGAATTCTTCTCATGAATGCCATCAGCCGTGAGACCAAAAGGGCATCAGCTCCTGGTCTTCCCAGATTCTCTTTGTTCGGTGTGTGTAAAGCATGTTTCTCAGCTGGGGAGTGTTTTAGTGTCCTTGACCCACTGGGAATCTGGGTCCCAGCTGAATTTAGGGTTGGCATTGGGTGCTGAGCTGCTTAGATGGACTGTTCTGCCCACACTTTGGTGTAGAAATAGAAATGCCTAGTGAGCTTCAAGGTACTGAGGAGTTGAGCATGTGAGGGAAGGCAGCAGATGTTTTGGACACGCCACCTGTACTCCACTTACCTCTTGCGTTTGGGTGTCTGCATCTGTCATTGGGGCTGTTATTCCAACTTTGAATGCCTGCTTAGGCTGGCTGGAAATTTATCTCCTTGGATCTGTAGGGTTGTGGCAAGTGCCCATCTCAGCACAGCCCTACAATGAGAGGGAACAGGAGCCAAAAGGCTTCTGATTCCTCACTCTTGGTCTGGGTATTAGGATAAATTCCTAGAGAAAATGCCATGCAGAACTGTGTCCACAGATTTGCTGCCTTGAGCCATTGCCCAGTGGACCTAGAACTGTGTGCATGGGAAGCCGTGTTCTGGCTGCTACAATTACAGTGCCTGATAGGCAAGACTTTAAATACCAAGTCTTGAGTCTTTTAGTCAGTTCCTTTCTGTAAATGGCACACATCTAAATCTCAGCTGGACTTGCTGGAGTTTACTCAAATTTTCATCGGCTCTGGATAGGATTTCTCTAGAAAAAATGCATTTCAAGTCACTAAATCATTCCTTTGCATCTATTTGCATGGTATTTGATCAGCCAAATTGAGATGGACAATTAAACACTTGTACAGCTGCAGTAAGTCAGAGCCTTTCTTTGCACAGATGTTGTGCACAAGTGTGCATTTGAAAACAGCACAGGATGCATGTCCCAAACAGTGGGAGTTTGGGGAATGGATGTTGCACACTGCAATGTTGTTCTTGTTGTTTGCTGTAGCACAGATGTGGATTTAACCTGTGTGTCACCTGGAAGTATGTTAATTGAAGACCTTTGAGGAGTTCAGTGAAAGCATAAGCAATTTGCGATATTACATTCTCTGGCTGGTTTTGGTTGTCTTTGGCTTAGAAATGACTGTGCAATAATGTCATCTTTTCCTCTGCTTTCTCCCCCATCCCTAACAGCAGTTCTTGTCCAGTCACTTAAGCCTTAGTATTTGAGGGTGTTTGTTGGAGCAAATGTTGCATGGGTGATGTCCAAGCAGTGGGCACTGATTGTAAACTTTGGTAGGGACTTGTGTTCTCCTTGGCCTGTAGAGCGCTATGTGTGGTCATGAGGTTAAAGCACCCTTGAGTTCAAATCTTTCTTGTAGGTCCACAGAGTGTTTTCAAAGGGAGTGGCATCTCAAGAAGGGACTATTCGTCGAGGAGATTTTGTTCTGTCAATCAATGGCAAGTCTCTTGCAAGCTCAGTCCACGGGGATGTCCTGAATGCTCTTCATCAGGCAAGACTATACAGCTATGCAGTCATCGTCATCCAGAAAGAAAAAGGCAAAGCAAACAATTCCTCCAGACTTGAGATATCAGCTACTGGCAGAAAATGTGTGGGGTCTGGAAAGGATGTTTCCATGGAAATAGGAACAGGTATGATCTTTGTCCAAGAACAGTTGGAAGGATTTCCTCGTAGAGCAGACTGAAGGGAAAAATGTCCATGTGTTTTAGATTAAAAGCGTCTGTGCCTTATGTGATTGAAGGGAGCAAATGAAATTACCTTTAAATTTTATTTGTTCTCTTTGGAGCCTAAATACAGTTTGGGTTGGGTTGTTCTGGGTTTTTTTTTTAATACCATAAGTAGGCAGAAACTTAGGACATTTAGGGCCTAATCCAATTTCTGCTAAAGCTTAGTGATTCCACAGATTCTTCCAATCCAGGATAAACTCCGTTTAAGTAATAACAGTAGTCAGTACAAGAAAGCAAACAACAAAAAAAAGAAAAAAAAAACCCCGACAACCTCAAAGAAAACCCCAGGCCCTGCAGCTTATTATGCAAAGAGACTGAACTTGCTCTTTGTAATAGTAGATTTCATACCGTTTCTACTAAAACATAGGAAACAGGGATAAATGGTTTAAGTGGAAATGTATCAGTGGAATGGCAAGTTCCTGTTTGGGAACAAGACAGCATTTTAGGGTGGAGGCTGCACTTGGGATGTTACAAACAGATCTCACAATTTTTTTTTTAGAATTAAGACACAAAACCATTTAGTACCTGTCTGTACACTGCTGCTTCAGGAGCGGGGGACGACCTGCTTCAGTCCCACACTGCTGCAGCATCCCTGGGAGGGAATGGGCAGTGGTTACAGTTTATTGCTGAGAGACTTGGTGATGTGCCTTCCAATACCAGGCACTTAGCTGAGACCACCCCAAGACCAAGGCAGAGAGCTGCCACTCACCCATTTTAAACCCCTTGGCTGTAACCATTACCGTTTTTTCTTTTTTCTGCAGTAGTTTTTATTGTTTTCTGCTTTCACTGAGTTTTATGGTGTAATACAGCTTTGTAATACAGCTTAAAAGAAATAGGAAACACTCTGTAAATGAATGGATCAGCCTTTCTGGAATTGCTCCCGTGGATATAATATATGTAATTACATCAGAATCCCTTTACACCTTAAACTCCCTGCATCCCGCACATTGGTAAATGCAGAATATCTACTGAGTGCAGGCACTAGGGGGCAACATTATCTCATAAACACCACAGTATTGGCTTATTAATATAATTCTGTCCTGCAAGGCAAATCACATCTTCAGATGTTTTAGGTAACATTTAAAGTTGTTTGAGATAATGGTAGCACTAATTTGTGATAACACGGACTGCATGATTTGTACATTCACACAGGGCAAAGAGGGTCCTGTTTTCCAAAACTGCAGATTTATTTCCTCCTAAGCAAAATATATTTTATGTCATCTACAGCAATAGTGCTTTCTAAAAAAATCTGCTATTTAGGAGGCAGGATGCAGCTACAGGTAATTATAGTTATTTCCATAGATATGAGACCAGAAACAATTATTCACACTAGTGAGTGGTTACAAAGTTTTCCTTAAGAAGATGGAGCATGCTTGTTTAATGTAATGTTCCATTCATTACTGTTATTTAAAAAGATGTGGTTCATTGAATAAGCAAGTGGAAACAAGGGAAAGAAAAAGAAACACTCTCCACTCACTATTTTTGTGAATTTTCAGCTGTTCTGTTGATGTTTAGAGTCTTTGCTAAGTTTCCTAAGCTTTCATTTTGCCAAAAAAATGTCTTGACAGGTGTTGTGGTTTAACTTGGCAGGCAGCTGGACACCACACAGCCGCTCGCTCATTCTTCCCCTCCCCAGTGGGATGGGGGAGAGAGAATCAGAATAAAAAGTAAAACCCGTGGGTTGAGATAAAGACAGTTTAATAAAACAACAGAGGAAAAGAATAACAATAATGATAATAATAATGGTAAGACAATATACAGAATATACAAAATGAGTGATGCACAATGCAGTTGCTCACCATCAGCTGACCGATGCCCAGCCCATCCCTGAGCAGTAATCACTCTCCCCTAGCCAACTCTCCCCCGAGCATGACGTGATATGGTCTGGAATATCCCTTTGGGCAGTTGGAGTCAGCTGTCCTGGCTGTGCCCCCTCCCAGCTTCTTGTGCACCCCCAGCCTTCTCACTGGCAGGGCAGTACGAGAAGCTGAAAAGTCCCTGACTTAGTGTAAGCACTGCTCAGCAACAACTAAACCATCAATGTGTTATCAACATTCTTCTCATACTAAATCCAAAACACAGCACTATGCCAGCTACTAGGAAGAAAATTATCGTAGCCGAAACCAGGACAGTCGGTTTTTGTTGAACATGTGAAACGAAAATGTCTCTGTGCATGAATGCATTTTGTACTGTCTCCCCTTCACAGCTGCCGCAATACACATTCACTTCTGAGAAACTGGGTGACCACATGTTTTAGTCTGAATATGAACTGAACTCCGAATTGCTTTGTCACTGCAGCAAAAACAAAACCAACCAAACACAACTTGCAATTTACTGTTAACTGCATAACAAGATGCTGTGTATGTTCTGTCACAGATCCAAACCTGGATATGAATGATGTCATCTGTGTTGAATTATTGAAAACTTCTGCTGGCTTGGGGTTCAGTCTTGATGGTGGAAAAGCTTCCATTGCTGGAGACCGGCCCTTGCTTGTAAAAAGAGTATTTAAAGGTACTACAGACATGCAGTGGATATTATCCCAGTTTCCTTTTGTGCATTGTACAGACATTTTAATTCTTGGACTCAGGGGTTTTTTTTGAAGCCAGGGTGGTTTTTGTGGCCCTCATTTATTACCTCGTACTTGCCAAAGTGATCAGTAAAAACCCACTCCCGGGAATGGCTAGGAATTGCATCTGCTAGTAAATGTTTGTGGAGCAATCTGATATACTAAATAAGATGCAGTTCCTTCCTGGGCTTGCCGATTGTTCTAGACATTAAATTAGAGCAGCAATATCATGGTAACAGTTTGAGAAGTTCATGACTTACCCAATTCTCTTTTCTAAGAGAAGCGCAGTGCAGATAAACTACTAAAAAGATTTTCCCCGTCTTTCCTAAAGGGGGCCTATAGGAAAGATGGGGAAAATCTTTTTAGTAGGGCCAGCTGTGACAAGACAAGGGGTAATGGTTTCAAACTAAACCAGGGTAGGTTTAGACTAGATATGAGGAAGAAATTCTTTACAATGAGGGTGGTGAAACACTGGAACAGGTTGCCCAGAGAGGTGGTGGAGGCCCCATCCCTGGGAACATTCCAGGCCAGGTTGGATGGGGCTCTGAGCAATCTGATCTAGTTAGCGGTGTCCCTGCTCCTGCAGGGGGGTTGGGCTGGATGACCTCTAGGGGTCCCTTCCAACCCAAAACATTCTATGAAATTCTATAAACAGTGTGGTTCCAAAGCACCATCCTGCATTAAACCCCATTATCAATTTCATATTTTTTTGTCATAATTTTTTGTTGTTGTTGTTAAATATCAGTATTAGCTTTTGCCAAGAATGCGTGATGTTCGTTTTCAAAAACTGCCACTCTTGGATGCTTTGTTTGTCAGCAGGTAGTCAAACTCATATTAACCATGTACAGAAGGGAAACCAATCCCAGAACTATGCTGTCATTTTAACACGTTTTAGTCTGGGATTCAGGTTAGTGAAAAATACAGCAATTCCTAAAGGAAGATGAAACTCTCAATGAAGATGCGGGTGCACAGCATTGTAAAGGATCACTTTCCAGAGCTTTATTCTCTCATCAAGGAAAAAATCAAACTGATATTTCCTGAATTGCTTCTCAGTTTCTCTTTGTGTGTTTGCTTTCCCCTCTTTAGAAATTGATTCTGGGGGTAAAGAGCGTGTTTAATTTTTGAGCTCATTAATCTATATGCTTAGATACAGTCCTTTTCCCTCCCCTCCCCATGATGGCTGATGTTAGTCAAGTTATCATTACAGAAAACATACTTTCATCAGCAGTGAAGGGTGTGCCCCTCCCTAGGAGCTGTTCCTGTGTCTCGTGTGTTTGTCCTAAGTTTGCTACCCGTGTTTGCTTTGTTCATCCCTATTATCTGCATTATCTGCTTACTACCACAGCTACAGAGAGAATGTACAGCATGTTTCATGCACTCATGCTGCTTCCTTCAAAAACAGACATTTTTTCTGAGAACAAAGATTTATCTTGGTTAAAATAACATTTTCTGTGAGATGCAGGATGGGGTAGATTGCTAGAGCTGAGCTGAACATAAGAGGCTTGTACTGAAATTGCCACTGTTGGAAAAATGGTTTATTTGCTGTTGATAATGGTGGAAAGCAAATTTTTGTGGGTTTACTTTTTTTTTTTTTTTTACACACTGACTTTTCTCCACTTTTGCTCCTAGGTGGTGCTGCGGAGCAATCTGGAAACATAGAAACTGGAGATGAAATTCTTGCTGTTAGTGGAAAATCATTACTTGGCCTCATGCATTACGATGCCTGGAACATTATTAAATCTGTGCCAGAGGGCCCTGTTCAGTTACTAATCAGAAAACACAGAACTTCAGTATGATGGAAGCACTACATCTAATCACACTTGCTAAGACAAAACATTTAAAACTGGCTAGAAGCTGTCTTTGTTTCTAAAGCCACACAGAAGTGTCTTAATGCTCTACCAAGAGGTGCTAAGAGCCTTGGAGAACCACTGAGCAAGCATGTGATGAGCATCATAAAATCTCACCTAATTATTGGGGATAAAGGAAGCCAAATGTTAGAGACATTTTTGTATTATGTGGCAGTTTTAATGGAACTTCAAGACCTCTCCTGGGTTTGGTTTAAAGTATTTTGACTGAGATAGATAAATAACACTGTGCCTGTCCCTGATATTTTTAGTATCTGCAGAGTGTTGGGAGTATAACTTGTTGGTTGCCATCCTGTTGACAAGGATGGGTATTTAGACTGTACTATATCACTTCGCTGTAATAAGACTTTAGGACACTTACTTAGGGTCTGGTCCTTTGTTGTAATAAGAGAATGTCTGGAACAATCTCACTTTATTCTTCTAAGTCCAGTTTTGCTAAAAATGCATGACAAGAGAGTATAATTTTGCACAACTTTTATGCCTAAAACGTGAGCGTTTTATTGTGAAGCTGAAAAATCTTCTTAAAACTGATGAACTAACTCAGCATCCACCACGACTGAATCTGCTCTTAGATGCAACTTGTATCTGAAAGCACTTGGCATTAATGTGGTAGAAATCTTGAGCAAGAAAATCATGCCCAAATAATAGGTGATTGTCCACCAAGGTGTAGACTGAGTTGTTAGTTGTGATTAAAATGGGAGCGATAAAAATTGGGGTCTGAATTTTCAAATTTAGGCTTCTAATGTTAGGCACCTTTAAAATATATATATATTTTTAAAAGAGGGATAATTTTAGGTGCTGAGCACTTGCAGATCCCACAGACTTCAGTGATCGCTAAGTACGTTTGAAAGCCGGGCTGCTTTTATTTGGCTACAAGAGCTTTAGGGCTGCCCGACTTGAAACAGTCAAGCTGGAAAATGGTGGTCTAAGGATGTGGATTATAACAGATTAAATATGAACTGGCCATATCTGTGGTGGCTTTTAATCGCTCTTTTTTGTTTTCTCTTGTCCAGTATTTATTTTTGCTTGTGTGAGAGTGGGTGAGGATGTGTGTGGAAGACATCAGTGTGCCCGGCCACATCAGGAATGGGCTGATGCTGAGGGTTCTGGATGGTAAAACGAAAAACTGTTTGTATAGATGGGAGAAACCATACAGCAGAACTGAAAGGGTTGCAATGCCACAGGCGCTTAGTTTGGATTTTCTCACCTCTACTCACAGTAGAGGTATCAGTAGCAGGCCATGCTGCTGAGTGTTATTTATAGTCTGCTGTGTCGGGAGGAGAGTGTGTGGGCGCATGAGATTAGGCTGTGTTATTTCTCTTCCTACATTGGGGATAGCTAAACAGCATAGAAGAGATACAGGAGGAAATGGGCCAGTGTCCCTTATCAGCTGAGAACAAGTTGTTTGTTCCAGAGTGCTCAGGTTGTTTGTCACGTTAGGCTGGAGACCGCTTGCAGCCAACATGCCCAGGGTGAAAAGCTCTCAGCCTGGAGCCAGTCCAAATCTGAAGTGCTGCCTACAGTTATAGTGAGCCAAGATGCTGCGTAGCTGTTACAAAAAGGTCTGGGCCTGTCACTTGGCCCTACCCCAAGGTCATGCTATAGTTCCATTTATTTACATGTATTCAACAGTGCTTGGAGCAATTGCTTCCAGGTTAGTGGAGCACTTGCTTTGGTTCATTTCTGTGACAGCTTCATTAGACTGCACCTCGGGATGTGCAGGGGGAAATTCAGTTCTGCGAGGCAACCCGAGACCAGGCAAGCAGAAAAGCTGTGCAATGGTTGCCTGAAAATGAATATATTTAATTCTTTTCCAGTGACATATTAGCATGTGAATCCAGGGGGAGATGCAGCTTTTGGTTATGGGAAAGGCAGTACTGTACATAGCCCTACAGCTGCTGTGCCTGCAGGATTTCTGTTGAAACTAATTCAGGTTCAGTGCTGTGAAATGGCTGTGAAGTTGTGTCCCCTTGCGGCCCCAAAGCTCAGCAGCTCTGTTGGGACTGGTCCTTGCCTCCAGCCACCTCCGTGGTGGGAAAGGCTTCAGGAGGATGGATGCAGCACTTGGGGTCGGAGGACCACACTGAGGTTGCAGGCCTGTGCTAGGATAAAAGAGGTTACACCTGCATATTTGCTGAAAAACAGGGAGAAGACATTTGGCAATGACAATTAAATGGTGAGGCCTTGTTCAGGAATGACCAAAATCTGACTGTAGTAGTGTGTATAATAGATACATAAAATGCATGTGGAATTTAATGCAGCATAGTGAATACATACCTGTATACGTATAATACGTACAAGTGCAGTACTGACTTTTTGCTACTTTAATGTGGTAAATCACAATTGTGTTTTATGAAATGGCATTTTTTTTCAGTCCACGTTTTGAAGTTTTGGAGGTTCCAATGCAGGGAGGCATGTGTCTCCCTCACTCCTAAACTAGTATGAGCTCAAAGGTAAAGTCTTCGTTTTGTAAATTAAACTTAATTTGAGGTGTCTTAAGATGATACATGGTGAATATTTTCAGATGCTTATTTGCAGGTACTGTTTATTGTGAGTGATTTAGAAGGCTTTAATTTTTCACTAATCTAATACTGTTCGGTATTTTATTTTACATGCACGTAGATATGTGTTGGCTGAATAACAGCAAAAAGAGATGGGGATTTTTGTGTGTGATTCAGTAGTGGCTATAATTTAAAAGGTAGGTTTAATGTTTTAAGTCTGGTAGTTACTATGGGTAGAATGATGCACTTCTCTACTAACATTACAGCAAGAAAAAGAATAGTATTTAACCCTGATTGTTTCTGTTCCTGGAAATATTTTTATTTTTTTTTTGGTGAAAGAACAAGAAACATGTTTACTGATGCTACCAGTGTTGATATGATTACAGTAGCATTTCCTGACATCTCTGTTGGGCTGACATTCCCCATAAAAGCCCCAGGATTTACGCAAGACAGGTCTGCTTCGTTACAAATGGGATGGGTAGACCAAACAGATGTAGTGAACCTTTGGTTATGTACATGGCAAAGTAAACCTTATTTTTCTGAGAGCCTGGTTGCACCAAAATGACAGAGGGCATTGCATTAGTTCATCATCAGTATTCAGTAGCTTCACGAGCATTTTTGGCCTTGCCTTTTGCTTATCGGTCCCCATGGTGATTCTTTGCCATACCAGAGGGTTGGCCAAGGTCTAGGAGAGCGGCGACTCTCCAGAGACTTGTAGCTGCATCTTGAATACTAAAAAATGGGGATAAAATTATGGACTTAGTCCGTAACTCTTCACCAGGGACCTGAAGGCATTCCAGATAAGGCAAATATGCTCCTCGATGGAGAAGGCCTGGTGGGGATTTTGCCGCTTCCAGGCTTGGGCACCTCAGGGTGCACATCCTGAATGTGAGAGCAGGCTCTGGTGCGATGCTGCCGTTGCATCTTGTGCAGCCTTTTGTACCTGGAAGCTCTTTCTGGCTTCTGTGGGGACTGCATCTGTATTAAAAACTGTGAGATTAGGCCTAAATCAGGGAGGGAACAACATCTGATCATTTTCTTGCTTTTTTGTAAAAAAGAAAAAAAAAAAAAAAAAAAAGAGGGCAGATAAGTATTAATAAGCTGTTGAGTGATTCATATTTTCTAATGACTCTCACTTAAAATTAACCCTTGTTAATGTTCTGCAGTGGTTCTTGTCAAAATCTGAGGGAACTGTTCCCAGGCGGGAATGTTTACCTGCTTCTACATTTAGGGCATGTAAATGTACACATGGAAATATTGAGGAGCAGTAGACTAGATCATGTGAGAAACTGGGATCCCACTCTAGGTAGGTTTTGTGTGTTAGGCTGATACACTTGTATGATATTGTATATTTACACTTTTATTTATATAAATAAAACTCCTTTTAATGAAAACTGTTTAATATGCCTTGTATAATAAAAAAGTGAGTGCAATAACATGAAATAGATTGTACATTTTTCAATTTGCTGTCTCTGTTATGTAAATCTGTATCGCCATAAACTGTTTTGTTTGGGTTTTTTAGTGATTTTGAAAATAAATGGTATCCTTAGTACTCCTCTGGATACTTATTTCTGTTATACTGAAGTCTGTCTGGTCCACAGTTGGAACTGGCATCACAGGGACAAGGTTGTCCTGGAGAGCACAGTCGAGGACTAGAAGTAAAACACCACCTTCTAAGAGCTGTCATCTGGCGTGAAGAGGACTAAAGTGTTTAAGAAGTGTTAGAAGGAGGTGTTTTATAGGACCTGCTTTGGAAGATGTGCTTTGTTTTTTTCCTGCCCATGTGCAAGGACAGGGCGGAGGGCAAAGGCAAGTTTTCATTAAGAGCGGCAGTCTCTGGAGCGCGTCGCCTATGAACTGTACCTCCTGCCCAGCCCCCGGGCCGTGCGAGAATGGGTTGCACGAGGAGGGAATCTCAGAATCACAGAATGGCAAGGGGCCTGGGGAGATCATCCAGCCCAACCCCCCTGCTAAAGCAGGTTCTCCTAGAGCAGGTTACACAGGACATCGTCCAGGCAGGCTTTGAATATCTCCAGAGAAGGAGACTCCACAGCCCCCCTGGGCAGCCTGTTCCAGTGCTCTGTCACCCTCAAAGTAAAGAAGTTTTTCCTCATATTCAACTGAAACCTCTTATGCTTCAGTTTGTGCCCATTGCCCCTTGTCCTGTCGCTGAGCACGATGTGTACACACAAATGTGTATACAACTAGTCCTAGACTGGTACTGGTTGCTGTCTTCCACCTACCCTGGGGATAAACTCCCCTCCGAAACCCGAGTGAGCCAGTGGTGTGGGCCAGGCTGGAGGTAACCTCTCTGTGGATGGAGTGGAGCTGCAGTAGAGGTGGCTGCAGTGCAGTGGAGCTCACAGCAGGAGGTGGACACCACAACCTCCAAACTGGGGAAGTTTGCATCAAGTGGTCCATCTATTTACGGACACAGCTGGCTTCCCGTCACTGCATGGCAGCTCGAAGCAAGCCTGCCTCCCAGAAAGGTGAATCAGCCCGGAAAGCGCGGTCCAGACACCTTGCCCTCAGCTGCTCTGACACGGGGAATGCCAGAGGCGCCCAAAATCCCTCCCTGCCTGGCAGCGCACGGACACGTCAGCTAGTCACTGGCGGGGTAGGCTAAGCTGGAGGAAGGAGCTTGTGGGTTAAGCGTTTGCATCCACATTGCAAGCCCATGCGCATTGCTCCGTGTTGGAGAGCTGGGTTGGGTGCTCGCAGAAGCTGCAGCGCGGCTGGAAACTCCCAGCCGGCTCACGCCACGGCGCAGCCCTGCCTTCGCCTCGGTGCACGCATGGCGCTCACCTGCATCTCTCCTCCCATGCCTTGCAAACCTCACAGTTTCCTCTGGTGCACTGTGCTGCCCGAAAGGGCCGGGTGGGCTTTCCTATGTGGGGAGGAAGGCGTTTGCTTTCCCGTGCCAGTGGCGTGGATGGCATTTCTCCCTCATCTCAAGGCTTGTGCCCCAAAAGCCACTGTGTTTGCTTTCAGTTTCCTTCCCAGGGTGCCGTGTCACGAGGGTGCAAGTGAGCAAGAGTCACGTGAGGAGCGAAAAGCCCCGGCGCTTCTGCTGAATCACCCTGCAGGCAAGGCCGGCACCTGGGGCTCCCAGCCTGTCCCGTGGGCACCAGGGCCCTTTCCAGAGCTGGAGGGGAAAAGGAGGAGCGTTGTGGTATCCCAGTCCCCCATCTGCATTGGGACCCCTTTTTCCCATGTCCCTTGCAAACAGCCATGATGAGGGATGCTACACAGCCTGTGTTGTGCGGATGAGGTTGTGCGAGGCACAAACCCAGCAGTGTGGGAAGGAGATGGACAGGGAGGTGTGGGGCAGCACACCAGCCCCCTCAAGCTCGCTCCGCCACATCTGTCACTGGCTGGAGCCTGGCTTCTCCTCCAGGGCTGTATGGGGAAAAAGCAAAAAGCCATTTTTAGCCATGAAGATCTCTGCTTTCCCCTCTCCCCTGCTGTCCTCAGTGCTGGGGCAGCCTAGCCCCTCTCCCCTCTTTCAGTGACTCCCTTGTATCCATCCTCCTGCCTGTCCTCCCTCTTTCTCCTAACACATGGCGTGACCTGGGGTCAACAGGGCTTAAGCCTCAGAGCAGCCTGGGTCTTACAAGATCAGTCTTGAAGATCTTCAATTAAAATCTTAATTGCCCCAGATAGTGGCTAAGTAAAGAGGAATACAAAAGAGAGAAGACACAAGGGACTTAATCCATAAATGTATTAGTACATGTGGCTTTACTTAGCCACTAAGACGTGTGAAGTGGTAGAAAAGTACATGTAAGTTTTACCTAACTCAGTTGTGTTTTGGGGATTGGGCTTTTTCTGAAGGCCTTGAGGCATGGCCAAATGGGGAACTTGGCAAAAAAGGCGTGAGAGGTTTGCAGTTTCAGGCATGGCTTTTTTTATTCCTGTATCACTAACCTACAGAGATCAGATCTAAATGAGATAAGTAGAGACACCTACTTCATTGTTTGCAGTCATGTTTGCCATTCTGCCTGGAAAGTTCCAATTTAATTCTCATTTTTTTATGTCTTTGCCACTCTCCCGTTCCCTGCTAGCATCACTCCACACAACTTAATGTCCCAGTAGGGTCGGTGTGACTCTGGTGTGGCTGCTTATGGCTCCAAAACCTCATCTGTATTTCCTGGAATGTGTCAAAACTTCCACTTCATCATCTTTGACCGAAGGCTGGTGGTCACTGTCTCAGTCCCCAGGCGGGGGTGGTGTGAAGGAGAGCCCCCGGCGGGGGATGTCCCCTGTGGCCGGGCAGGAGCAGGTCGTGCAGTGGCTGGGTGCGATGCCTCTGCACGCAGAGAAGTGACACCGCCACAGGGCAGCGTGTGATGACAAGGGGAAGCAAAACCTCCCCGGGCCTTCCCAGTGCCCAGGGCCGTGCCGGCTCAGCCCCAGAGCCAGCCATCACTGCGGGGGGCAGGTCCACCCTGCTGCCCCTGCGCTGCCAGTCCCTCACCCTCCCCTTGAACTGGGCTGGGAGATTCAAAGCAGTTTGGTGCTGCTTTTGTTTCTTCCTTTCCTATGCTACATTGGGTTGTATTAAGGCCTCTCATAGCACCTCCACCCTCTGTCCAGCACCCCTGTATCAATGAGTGAAGAAATGAGTGGAAAGCGAGCGATGGTGCATTATCTAGGGCTGATGTCCACCGCTTCTGGTAAAGGAGATTGGGTCATTTCTCCTTGTCAAGGAGTATGGCTGAAACCGGACTGTCATCACCAGCCCTTAGCAAAAGCCCATTTTGGACTGTGCCTTTACAGAAAAAGCCAGCCATGTCTCGCTCTTTCCATGTAGTCGTGTTCCTCAAAGCACTTGACTCAGCTAAATTAATGATGATAGCGATAATTTCTAAAGCTTTTTTCCTTTAAAAACATAAAATCCCTCTCATTCAATGATCGTAAGAAAGAACATTTGATGCAACTAAGCATCCCTTCCTCAAACAAGGAGTTGCCCTCCCATCCTGGGACTAGAAGGATGTTTTCCAGCAGTCAGGGTATTTTCTGAAGTTGGCCAATACTAAAACCAGAACCTTTTTGCCTTTCCATTGATAGTCCTGTATGCACTGGCCTCACCTCACCGTGCAGCTGAATCAGTCTGATGCTGTTGCACTGAGCAAATAAGTTACCCAAAGCTGCAGTTGTTTGTATTTTTGCCTACCTAGAAAAGCCATTTTCTTGATGTGCTGGGGAGAGCCCAGCTGCTGTTCTCAAAAATTACCTCCCAAATTCCTGATCCTGGGCAGGAGGGACCTGGATGTGGCCTTGTGGCTTTGTCTCGGCTTGGTCACACCCCTTTTGGGACACAAAGGGGAGGGTGCAAGCAGAAATCTGCCCTTAATCGCCGCCACGCAGCAGGTGACAAAGGTGATCCTGGCTCAGTTCACAGAGCTGAGGGAGGAGGTATAAACATGGTACCTTGATCCAGGCAGAGTGTGATAACGCAGGCAAAACCCTACAGGCACAAGACCCTGGTGATGGGCACCATCCCGGGGCCGTCCTCTGCTCTGAGCCCCCCGGGCGGGCACTGCAGCGGTGTCATGGCAGTCACGCAGGGGTGCTGGCGTCCTGTTCACCAGCCTTGCCCAGTATTGCTGAAGGTAACTGGTTTCCTTCGAGGTTTGCAGCTGGATTGTCCCCTGCAGAAAGGTGCTGAGGCCCTTCAAGCAGCAGCAGCAGCATGGCAGAGCCAGAGGAGCCGAGCCACGTGGTGCTCCCACCGTCCTTTCCTGTGCAGGAGGGATGGCACCAAAGCCCCTGTAAGTTGAAAGGGCTGCGACAGTTTTACTTCAGGTCACTACCATTTCATGAGATAATCTCCTGTTGCCAAAGGAGTGACAGCTGCCTCCATGCTTTTGGAGGGCTTGTGGACTGGTGAGATTTGCATTGCAAAGAGACCATGCGTGAGAAGGGAGGACAGCCTTGGCATGGCTGGTTTCTTACGCCATCGTCCAGACAATATAGTGACACACTTGAGCAAAGACCCTTGTTTACAGCTGTAACAGCTTTTGGGACTATTGCTGACTGACAATTCCCGCCATCAGCCACCTACTTCATGGAAAAATCTCCCAGACTAGAAGACAACACGTCATATCCCCAGCCCTTCCTGTCCGGCCTCCTTGCACCTCCTGGGATGCGCGTCATGCCCTCGCACTGTCTCATGTCGACAGGAGGAAAATGATAAAATTAGTCCCTTCCAGCAGTATGTGCTAAAAATAATGAGCAGCATATGAGACATTGTTTTTCAGATGGCAAAAAAACATCCCACGGGTGGGGGAGAAGGAAGGAGGGAGGTGTTGTCTGTTGTCTAGCAATTTGTTTGGGAAATACCGCCTGTGCATCCAGTCTCAGGTGTGAGAGCATGAGCTGGCCAAGGGCACCGGGCTGGTTTTCGCCTGGGCTAGCACAGCGCAAACACAACCCGGGGCTGCACTTGCTGCTCTGGCAGGTGCCCACAGGCCGTGGTTAATGGAAAAGGCTACGGGGCAGCAACTCCGTCGGTTTGCTTCAGCAGGTGGGTTTGGTTTGGTTTTTTGCTATGGGGTGCTTGCGGGTGAGTCAGTCACCTTCAGACAGTGATGCCTGCCCCAGTGACGGGATTATTTTTTTCCCCCTGCCCCTTAGGGAGGAGCTGGTCACAAGCATTGTCCTCTGGCGGTGACCTGGCTGGAGAGGGGCCAGGCTGTGGCAGACAGGCGGTGAGGGTGTCTGGATGTTTTCACAAGGCTGACGAGTCTTACGAGTGTTATTGGTTTGCTGGTGGGGCTGTGCAAACACACGCTGTGCAGCACCTGCGGCAGCACTTGGCACCGGCCTGATGGGCCACCTCAGGACCGCTTCACTGATGCTCCCTGAAGTAAAGCTCTTCCAAGCCTCTGCTGGTGGCTGACTGGTTTTTTTTCCCACTGCAGATGGCTCCCTTTGTTTTTTTTTTCATTTACTAGAAACCAGAGCCTTTGACCAGGAAGCAATTAGTCCTCCTCCTCAGGCTGGGCGCCCATGTATGGTGCTCCCTGCTCACGAAGCTGGGGAGAGGCAGCAGGATGAGCCGTGGAAAGCCTTTTGATGTGCATGGCATAGCAGGTGAGGCTCTCAGGCTCTCCTCTCCACAGATACATGTCTGGGTCCCAGCTTCAAGGAAGAAGAATAAGCTCCGTGCTATCCCTTTGCTATTCCCCTGTGGTAGGCAGTAACATTTCCCCCTTTTCCAACTCCAGCTTCAAACTTCAAAGTCAAAGTCTGACCTTGGTGAAACGCTGCAATTCCTTTCTGCCTGCACCTGAGACAAAACCCTTAACTTGGGTGTCTATCCTTCATGGATCCCCAGGGACGCTCCTCCCCAAAGCTGCAATACCTCTGGTAGAGGCACTGGAGCCCGTGACACCATCCAGCTGTCCTGAGGGCAGTAGTTACTAGAAAACATTAGAAAAGGTGTCTCAAGTTTCCCATCCTGAAGTTTGAGGATATGGTTATGTCTTGTTCCTCTAAAAGTAAAAGCCTGATGTCCCAATGCATACCTACTGGCACTCTGCTGTAGTGTGTGCCTGCTGACTCGGAGGTACGGAAGGAATTTGTGTAATACGATCACACATTCAGAATCCGCAAAAAACCCTCCTGAATTATAACAAAGACTCATTTTTCTCACAGATGCTTTGTGTTTATTAGCAAGATTTCAAGACATACATGCATGGAGCATACAGCAAAACATCTGGCCCGTATCCAGAATACGCCTTAAGAAAAAGAAACTCCTGTTGACACAATCATACAGCAGATCCTTTGGAGGAGTAACAAAAGGAGTCCTAGGGAGGACATTAGCAGGCGCTTGCTCATATACTGGCACGGATTGCTTGGGACCTAGGTTTTCTTCCTGCACTCCCAATGAATGCTAGCCCTCTTGACAATGCTGAGAAGCATTAGAACACTTCATGAAAAGCAAATAGACTTTGCAGATCTAGACAGACAAAGCACTGTGCTAATGCTTAACTTGGATATCCCCATGACAATGTGTTTACGTGCATTACAGCCTGGAGTATTGGCCAGGCTCTGAAGCCCACACCTTGTTTCCTATTTCAAAACCAGCGTTCCTAATTTCAAAGCAGTGTACATTGAGCAGAATACTTTTATTCAAATACATCTCAGCTACTGATGCAAATGCTAATGCTGAATTTTCCTGAGAGTCCCAGACAGGCACGATCATTGTTTAGTGTCCTTGATGAAGACTCCAAGACTCCACTGAGCCCAGGACATACAGCGGGAGCCCTTCTGTTGAAGTTGGGACTGCCTTCGATGAACAGCTTTGCCAAGTCCCACATGGCACTAGCCTGGGAGCTGGTGTTTGGCCTAGCAGAAACTCTTTGCATTTACTTTTTAAATACCTGAAAAACCGACCTCTGTACGTCAGCAAAACACGTTACTTTGCAGTACTGAGATGAGTAACAGCTATTCTTGAAACGCTACGTTCTCACTGAAAAGGCATTAGCTGGCTTAGAGGAAGAGGGAACCGTGCATGTGGCTCAAGCCAACGGCAGAACTCCCAGTAACACCACTGGGATGGAGCTGTGTCCTCCATGTGGAAAGCAGGCAGTCGGTCAGCTTCTGGTTAGTGACATCAGTGACGAGAAGTAACAGCCATACACGGTTGGTTGTGACAGAGTGACAAGAGCTATGTAATGACAATTTTGCAAAGGCAGATTCAGAAGAGCTAACCGAAAAATTAATTATAAAGACAAACAAGAATACACTACGAGGCAAGAAAAAAATTAATTTGAACAGAGGCAGAATTCAGGAAGTGCAACTATACAGCCTTCGACAATGCCAATGTACTTACATGCAAGGGTATAGTTAAGAGAAGGAACTCCAGCCATTGACCTAAGAGGTAGCTACAAAACATGATAAGCTTCAGCCATTTTCTTGCTTGCTTGCACCCATGAAAAAATACTGTTTAGGATTGAGTCCGACATGAATTGACTAGCAGAGTTACTGTTTGCCTTGACAGTGATCAGCATGCTTAATTCAGCTCCTCCAAAGCCAGCCGAGGGTAATAACCCCTCAGTGAGACAGGCATAACACATCACCATCCACTGGATGTGATACAGCAGCTTCATCATTCCGGAACCGAAATGAGGTTGCCATGAAATGAAATGGATATAAAGTACAAGGGAAGAACCTTTACTTGTATGTATAGTTAAACATTCATCAATCCAAGGCTATTTTCCTGTACTGACTGTAACATTCAATTCTATCGATATTATTTCTTCAAAGAGAGGTAGTTGCTTTCTTTGAATAAATAACATTATCAAGAAAACTTGAGGTTCAACTTGGATTCAACTTTTAAGATCTACTTCTATTGAAGAGTTATATTGTTACTTATAAAGACACAGCAGTATTGTACTGTTCTCCAGAAATTCTTTGTAATGTTGAAAGAATCCTTCCACCAAATACTTCAATATCTGTATTTGTGTAATATATATCCCCTGTATATTATACCAAAGTATGCTCCCCTCTGTGTTGCATGAAGGATTTCCTTCATTATCAGAAAACATTATGCTCTCTTCTAGTTAATATCATGTATTTCTATGTCACGTTTTCAACATTTTTTCATCCTATTTTTTGAGCCTAACAAGTAGCATTCAATTAATAGTTCTGTGAAATACTCATTACATACACATGGGGTGCACATATTTATATTTTATATATATATTAGATATATATACTCAAAATTTTTATATAAATTAGATTAGAACTATGCAACATCACGTTAATTCATAGAATTCTAATGTTTAGTCCACAAAGCAACATCCTGTAACAAATAACCTTTCAATAAAGATAGTGGTTTACTTAACAAATTAAATAATCCCACCACCAGATCCCTGTCCAGCAGAATCCATGCTTCAGAAAACAAAAGCAGTCAGAAACCGAGCACCTGGCTTTTGCCTTGTGATATATGATCCCCTGTTCCAAGATGCTGATGCTGGTTTTTTTTTGTTTGTTTGTTTGTTCCTTCCCAAAGGTGGTCGGAGCTCCTGGGCAAGAGGTAGCTGTGGGACACGAGGACCAGAGGGAGGCTGGGGACACCAGGCTCCAGGAAGTCATCTCAGACCAGGCTGAAGGGCAAGTTCTGTCTTGCCCCAAAGTCTCCCCACTGTGTGGCGAGGGGCTCTACCCATCGATATCTTTGGTTTTTTCCCCCCACCTGGCATTCATACGCTGATAATCGCTGCAACATTCTTCAAAGAATCATGTTGCGACAGCCATCCTTCGGCGGCTGCAGGCAGCAAAAATACAACGCAAAGAGCTTCCTTCATCTCCCAGCTGTCAGTGAAGTCTCTTGTCCCAAATCCACAAAGCCAAAGGTCTTCCCCTCCTTTTCAGCACGCCGCGTCCGAGGTGGCGGGGGGCTCACGTTTCGGGGCAGAAGAGCTTTGTGAGGAGGTTCAGGATCTTCTGCCGCAGGTCCCACTTGTCACCTATCCTCCGCAGCTGCAGGGCGCACTCCACCACCGCCTCCCGCTCTGCAGGGCACACGCACGGCCGTCAGACACCTGCACCCCCTTGCACCCCCCCTGCATTTTTTAATTTTAATGAAATATTGACAATATGGTAAATATTTTTTTTTTTCCCCTCAATATGAACACGCGCGCGCACTCTGCGAGCAGCGGGTCTACC